CAGGCGGGTCTCAAACCCGTGGGCTCAGGCAATCCACTCACCTCGGCCTCCCAAAGGCGCAGGATTACAGGCTGAGCCACCAAGCCTGGTTGATTATGAACATCTTAACACAGAATGGGAGGGTGGGTTTTTAAGGTTGTTTTTGTACTCAGTGATCGGATAACCAAAATAATTAAATTATACATAAACCAATTACCCCATGGGGAGAGGGGAAAAACAAAAACAAAACAAAGCATTTCTTTCTTTCCAAAACCTCAGAGGATTATCAGGATTGGAAGAAAGCCAGCACTGGCAATAACTCCAAGTACAGAAACAAACAGCCCTCAAATGAGCAACATTTTCCTAAATGAGAACACCATTAATAACATTCAGGAAAAATCTTGCTCAAGGGTAATAATTCAACCCTCCTAATCTCTAACTCTGTCTTCTGTTTGATCTGTTCAGGGTCCTTTAATGAGTATAACCCACCTGTCCAGCAAGGACCAATAAAGCTAGACCACCTTTCTGAGCTGGAAGTGGCGCTATTTTAAGTCCATTTTGAACAGCTCTTCTGGATCTCAGAACCCTAGTGTTCTATACCTGCCTGTGGCCACCTTCCTTCATACTTTCCCAACTGTGGCTCCTGGTGCTCTCTCTCGCGGACAGGAATTTGTATTTGCCCTTGGAGGGGGGTCTCTCTCACTGGGCCTTCCCATTGGCTACCACATCTCTGCCCAGCTTTTATAGCCTGGGCAAACCCTGCTGCCTCATGCCCTCTCCCAGGGAACCAACTGGGCATCCTTAAAAGTAGCCTATATTTCATTACAGTGAGTCTAAGAATTGAAAACCGTCTGAGCTCATGGCAACACACACACAACAATTGATCGAGGAGCAGAAGCATTACTCTAATAACCTTCAATTTGAAGAGAAAACTCCTACGGCATGAACTAATCTTTTTAGTGCACTAGCCTCAGACCACAAAATGAAGAGGCAGCAAAAACAGACAAAGACCAGTCAGGCTAGAACTTTGGAACTTCCATGCATATTCCATGGGAAGGGTCATTATCAATCACTGATCTTGATCAAAGATATATAAAATGTAACAAATTGGTTTTTCACATTCCTCCTCCTAGTGATTTAAACTTCTTTAAACTAAAAAGATCATGCAATTTAATCATGAGCACTGTGAATCAAAGCATTCTCTGAATCCCTAATATTCTAACTAGTCAGACTTATTTTCAAGATTCATAGGATAGGCAATTCATTTTATTTAAGGATACATATACTGCTCAAATTGGAGTTTAAAGGGGAAAAGATGAAGTAATGAAATTATTGCAAAAACTAACAGGAAATTCAAAGTATAGTGCATATTATGGCAAAACTCTCAGGAATAATGTTCTGTTATTTTGAAAGAATATTTTATGACTCTGTTATGGTGTCTTCTTTTGTGATTAATATAAAGTGTTTTGTTCTAATCCCCGACATACAGGACTTCATGCTATATTTTTCTATTTTTTTTAAGTTTACTGGTTTATTGTAATGGCTATTACCAAAAACACAGTTGAACACTTGATGAAAAGATGCATAGGGCAATGTACAGGGAAAAGGGTGCAGAGTTTCCACGCTCTCTCTGGGCACGACTCCCTCCAGAAACCTTCACATCGCATATTCAGCTGTCCAGAAACTCATCCAAACCCTTATGGACTTTATGGTGTATTTTTCAGATGATAGGGGCAAGCAAAACTAAATGGGAAAATGCTAAATAAAAGTCTGAGATTATATCTGAATGATGGTTTTATGGGTGGTTTAAATTTCCTTCTTTTTTGCTAATCTGCATATTATCATCTTTTGCAATGAACATTAATTAAGAGAATAATTTGTAAAGGAGTCATACTATCATTTAATGAAGGCTTACAATATATCAGGCTCCCTTAAGACACATATACACACCCACAAACTTGCATGTGTTACATCAATTAATTCCTCAAAGGGTCCTATGACATGAGTACTATCAATATGTGACATGGAATAAAACCAAGGCTTAAAGGAAACCTGCCCATGTAACTCCTCTAGTGAGTGCCAAGACTGGGAGTCAACTGAGATCTGTTGCTACCCTGACTAGGACACATCAGAGTCACCTTAATGCCACACTTAGTGAGGGACAAAATAGATGTTCAGTGGGGAAAGAAGACTATATCTCGGATCAGCCAAAATGGAGCTTCTGCCCAAGTATGCAAATAACTAGGCATGTACCCTGAAACCATTTGGCTTTCAAGTTTTCTCATTTACAAAATGAAGGAGTTGAATTGGGTGACCCTCTTAATTTTATTATTCTATAAGATCTGAAAGAGAATTTCATGTCATCCTGTTAGGCTAGTTGGATTACATCAAATGAATATAGTTGACCATATATCTACTCACTTGACACACTGATTAGACTTATATATGCACACACACACATTTGTTATACTTAGGATATATCAAATAAAGTTACTTATTAAGGGCTATACTAAAAAACAAA